AGGGATGACAAGAGCATTTCTGTTCAAATGCCTTTTGCCAGTCCAAAGAAATTAGAGGAGTGTGGTGCAAAGATCAAGAGACATGGATTCAGAGAACTGGGTTCCAGTATTGACTCTGCCATTTATTGCCTGTGAGGCGTCTGCTGAATTCCTTAAATTCTCTGGGCCCCTGTTAGTTTCTTAGTTTTTCCTCCTTCCCTTTCAACCCCCCATACCCAGCAGATACTCTTTTTAGAATATAAAATAAAAGGATTTATCTCAATGATCTCTCAGAGCTCTTAGGAAACTGATTTTTTGTTTCAATAATTGTGTCTTTTCTAATAAAAATGTTCTAGTTAAGAAGGAATACAACTTATTAATAAAAAACATACATGTTAAAGAAAAAGCAACACATACTTGTTAAAGGAGGATACAAAACAGTAGAAAGTAAAAGTTTCTTTTTAGTAAGAGTAGAGTTACTGCTAGAATTTTAAATTTAAAAAACTATTAAAGGCTGGGCATTGTGGCTTGTGCCTATAATCCCAGCACTTTGGGAGGCCGAGGCAGGTGATTCACCTAAGGTCAGGAGTTCAAGACCAGCCTGACCAATATGGTGTAACCCCGTCTCTAGTAAAAATACAAAAATTAGCTGGGTATGGTAGCACATGCCTGTAGTTCTAGCTACTTGGGAGGCTGAAACAGGAGAATCGCTTGAACCTGGGAGGTGGAGGTTGCAGTGAGCTGAGATCGCACCACTGCACTCCAGCCTGGGCGACAGAGTGAGGCTGTTTCAAAAACAAAAAAACCATTAAAGAAGCTTGATGAAGCTTTAACGTTAACAACAATAAGAAGCATATTTGAGTGCTTCTTGTCACTTTCCTAAATATTTACTGACTTTCCTTTTGAAGGCATTTGTAGTTCATATCCCTTTTTCAATGTTCAGTGTTAAGGCCTAAGAAGTTTCTAGAAACATTTTTACTCTGGATGAGGGGACCCAGTGTAAGTGGAGACAAAGCCAAAGAGGATCTGTGAGTGAAAGAACGTGAGTGCCCAGTGCTGTGGGAGTGCAGATTAATCCTGTCACAGAGGAGGTGACAGAGGCTGGGTTTTGAAACATGAAGTGGAGTCCAACAGACAGCAAAACCTTAGCAAAGCAACCACTTAGACAAGCTCTTTTTTGGTTACCCAGTGCTAGAGGGATCATATAATTTATTTTCCAAATTAAGGTACATGATAATCAAAGGGGAACTACTGGTAATTATGTCAGGGCAAGGAGCATAAACCAGAATCTCCTAGGTAAGCCAGATGATATGGTGACTTCACTTCATGCAAAGGTTTTGATATCATGAAAAACAGCCCTGAATCGGATTTCATACTTTTTGAAACCTGTGACAACACGGTATGTTAAAAATGCTCCCAAGATGTTTCCCCATCCTGGGTAACTTTCTGAAAAAATTGTAGTGGTTTCCCTAACAATGCTTTTTAGTCCTGTTGCTGGGTTTTAGCATAACATCCATAAAGCAAATTGTTCTAACTTAGGAACACATTATCCTTAAATTAGTTTGGTAGCAACTCAAGTCTTCCAAACTACACTGATACTCAGCCTTATAGGTTTGGGTCTTCCAACAATGCTTTGGGGACCCACTCGATGCCTTAACCTTCAGTGTTTCTAGCTGGTGTTTTTAAATTTGTTTTGCTGTGTTCTCGGTTGTAATTCCAAAGAGGCAGCAAAGGTTCTCCCTTAGCAGGGACTATCCAGGAGTGGGAGAGGAAAACCAACACATTTTATAATAGGATTGGTGTTTTCATCTAGATGTGACATCTGTGGCGGTGTGCGGTGGGGCAGGAGGAATAGCATGTGCAAAGGCATGGAAGCAAAAACAGGCTTGGAGTATTCAGGGGACCCCGTGGGATTCTTTGGATGGGAGTGGAGCTGGGAATACAATGGGAGAAGAGGCAAAAAAGGTGAGTGGGACTAGATTGTGGGAGGCCTTGAATGCCACCCCAAGGAGTGTGGACTTCATCCTGTTTGGAAAGGTGAGCCTCTGGAGCTATTCAAGCAGGATATTTGTGTGTCTGTGTGTGTGTGTTTGAAACACAGCAAATGGAATAAAACCTGAAGTAATTTCTCCCTCCAGTTTTGCAGGCCTAATTTAGCCTAACTTTTTGCTAATTGTTCGCTACCTCCACCGCACTCCAAACACCACCTCCAAGGAACTGTATCTCAATTGACTGTGAATTATAGATGGGAATTTCTGATGCTTTGAATTCAGCCCACTCCCAACCAAGGCTGTAGTGAAATCCCTTAGCATCCCACAGTGGTGTCTCCAGGCAGGACCCTGTCAGTGGGGGACTCAGGAGTGAGGCTCAAAAAAGTAGGGGCAGAGGCTTCTGTCCTCTGGCCACCCGACTGTAAACTGCTACTGAAACCCCGCCTTGGGGGAATTTATATTCTCCCTTTTCTTAACCCTTAACACAAATCATGTCTACCTGGAGCCTAAGTGCAAAGTCATGAATGAAGCTCATGTAAAAATGGCAGCTTACTCTTTTTGGCTATTTAGGATGCTTAATGATGAACAGGCTTGACAGACGATAGATTCTTCACCCCCAGAGGTATTGGAACAGGTATGTGTTAGAGAGGGTTTCTGTAGGTCTTGGGGCCTGAAGCCTGACGAATGATGATTCTACATCCTGCCCAACTAGTTACAAGCTTATTAAACTCTAGCCTCTGTTTCCTCAGCTGTAGAATGGGGATCATAGTAGTGCCTTTTTTATAGGGTTCTTGAAAATATTAAATGGGACAATGATGGCACTTGGTCAATGCCAGGCGCTAAGAACTGCCCAGAAAAAGCTGGCAGTTATCATACCTGGCACAATCCTCTACCTCTGAGTTCATGGTAGCCAGTGGTTGACCTTCATGCTTACAGGGGCAAACCAGTCATTTATTTTTAAGTGTGACCCCTAACTTGGAACATGACACAAGCAAACTCCTAAAGGCACAGAATTGATCATTAATGCCACTTAATATTACCCTTTGAAGTCATCTAGCAGTGGGAGCCAAACTTATCATTTTGCAGAAGGGGAAATAGATTCAGACAGGGAGGAACAGGCCCAAATCCAAACAAAGTTAAAGGCAGAGCCTTTACTTTGAGATGTAGGTCTCTGATACTCACCCCTGCTCTTAACTCTGCAACATGCTTTCTGTCTCACTATCTGTTAGTAAGTAACATTCAAGACCTTCACCATTCCGCCTTCATTCAGTGAACATCTGAATTAGAAGTTCAAAGTGCTTTCCACATCTTAGCTCACTCAATCCTTATAGCAACCCCACAAGGCTGATCTTATTGCTAATCTCCATGCTGTAGATAAGGACAGTGAGGCAGAAAGGGGTTAAGTCACTTGGTTAAGCCTCACAACCAGTAGGTAGTAAAGCTAAGAACTGAAACTGAACAGTTGGGCTCCCAAGCCTGTGCCTGTAACCACAATACCATACCGACCCTCAAAGGGTGGAAAAGTGTGTGGTGTCTGCCTTAGACAGGCATACTCCCACAGGGAAGACACAACCTGCAGTAAGTGTGTGCAGCCTTGTACTACGGGCACCAAGAGAAGAAAGAAAGGAAGGGTTAATTTTATAGGGGAGGAGGGAGAGAATCAGGAAAGCTGCCTGGAGGAGGTGAGCTTTATCCAGTTTCCAGAGGTGACTCACTTTCCTTCAGGTTGATGAAAGCTGGGGAAGGGAAGAAGGCATTCTCTTTAAATGGAGGAGTCTTTGCTGAGGCAGGCAGGTATAAAGGGACTGGAGCTTAAGGGATGCAGTCAAGGAAGTCAATAAGAGAGGTGGGCAGGAACCAAGCATAAAGTGTGTGGGGTGGGCAAGTTAATGAACTCCAGGATCCTCAACTTCCTCATCTGTAGACTGGGGCTGATAACACACACCCTCTGAAGCTGTTTGAATATTAAATGAGATAATATGTATATACTTCCTGACCCTGTGTTATTCCTCTTTATTTGCCCTTCATAAAACTATTTCCTTCTCTAAAAAAAAAAATTAATTGAGCATATTTTTGACACAGTAGCATTAATAATCTTGAGGGTCATTATTACTCATTCGTAATAACAATATAATGAATAATAATGTTAATTGCCATTGAGAACACTAAGTGCTTAATGTGTATGATCTATATTTATCCAATCTAATCCTCAGAACGTACCTTAAAGAGAGCTAAGGCATCATTATCTCCATTTGACTGATGAGGATAATGAGGCTGAGGGAGATGGAGAAAGATACACAAAGGTCACCCAGCTTGGAAGCTGCAGGACGGGTATTAAGACCCAGGTCGGTCTGTCCTGGAAAAATGTCCCCCCACACAGAGGATGCCCCGTGTTTGCAGTTCGTGTGGGTCTTGGCCACGTCCCTCCGCTCTTCCTCACAAGGAGAACATTCCAAGTTCTGCTAGGCCTAGGGAAGGCGAACGTCCAAGCGAGGAAGGGAAGGGGCTGGCCGAGGCTGGAGGATGGGCCCAGGCTGGGAGGGTGGAGCGGGCTCTCCTCGCCCTGAGCCCTAAGGCTCCAAAGAGGCTGCTGCCTTCGCACGCCCTGAGGCGCCCTGCAGAATCGGGGCCCGCGGAGACCCCTGGCCTGGGAGGCTGGGAGGCTGGGAGGCCGGGAGGCCGCGGCACTGCGCTGGGTCGGCGCGCTCCCGCGTGACGCTCAGGCGGGGCGCGTTCATTTCATCTGCAATCTGTCGGGAAGGCTTCCCCATCCCTCCTCCCTGCCTGCGTTTGCGCAGGGCCGGGCTCTTCCGAAACTGAAACCACCGGCCGCCCGGCCCCACCAGCCCTCGTGGGATCCGGCCCGGGTTTACCTTCTATGGGGAGGCCTGGGAGAACCAGGCGGAGCGCAGAGGCGGGCGGCGCTGACGTGGCAGGCGGCTCCCTCCACCCGCTCCTCCCGCGGGCACCGCCGCCGTCCCCGCGCCGCCCAGCGCCGCAGCCCCAGGCCAGTGGGCGGGAAGCCGAGCAGCGGGCGGGACGTGGCGTGGGTCCAGGCCCTGACCCGCCGCCACCGAGACTCCCAACGCCACCAAATATCGGAGCTGCGGTTTCTTTAACTGTCAAATGCAGACAGATACTACCCACCTCGCCTTTGGAGTGAGCAGCAGGTACGTACAGTACCTGGCCCCTAAGACTTACTCCAATGTCCCTTCAGGGTGCCGTTGTGATTGTTGTTGTTACATTGGGCAGCCCGCCTTGTGAAATAATGAGCTCCCATTGCTGAGCGTGTTCAAGCATAAGCTGAATAAATTTGGAGGACAAAAAGAAGTAAGTTAGAAGAGGAAGGGACCGAAACTTGCCATGCCTCAGGTACTGATCTGGTGACTTCCAAAACATATCCATTAGTACTGATCTGGTGACTTCAGAATCACCTGGAAAGCTCAAACAGCTCCTCAGACCTGGGATGGAAATCCCGGAAGGCACACTCTTTGAAAAGCATAGCTTTATGTGTACACCACAGATCTAGGCCAATAGTCCCTGCACTTTTCGTCTTTGAGTACCCTTCCGTGATTCCCTCCTGCTCCACTGAATGCAGTGTGAAGCATGTTGTTGACCAAACTAGATTTGTTAACGCATAATTTGCTCTCTAAATAAATTATTAATCAAAGACCCAGAGTTCATTCAACAATCATTGAGTACCTACCGTGTGCCAGGAACTGTGCTGGACACTGGTGGTCTGGTGGAGAAGATGGACAAGGGCTCTGTCCTCATGGACTTGCCAGTCTAGGGAGGGAAAACAGAAAATGAACAAGAATTCAGATACTGACACTGAAGCCAAGAGAATCCAGCTGAGCCAAAGACACCCAATAGTCCTGTGTGGAAAGCAAAAGCAAATGGAGGCCAGGCATGGTGACTTACCCCTGTAATCCCAACACTTTGGGAGGCTGAGGCAGACAGATTGCTTAAGTCCATGAGTTCAGGAGCAGCCTGACCAACATGGTGAAATTCCATTTAAACTCTACTAAAAATACAATAATTAGCCAAGCGTGGTGGCACACACCTGTAATCTCAGCTATTCAGGCAGCTAAGGCACAAGAATCACTTGGACCCAAGAGCAGAGATTGTAGTGAGCTGAGATCATGTCACTGCACTCCAGCCTAGATGACAGAGTGAGACTGTCTCAAAAAAAAAAAAACAAAAAAATGGGGGGGGGGAATTATATCATTCCCCTGAGAAAGGTGGGAGTACCCCTCAACACACAAGCACACATGCATATACCACAGTATTATCATTTTCATGGATCCCAAAAAGTCCAGGTCCTTAGATGGAGATCATCTAAGGCCTCATGAGGAAAGTAGCCTAAAGCCAGCATACAGGAAGACCCTGTAGACCGGATTCCAGTCGTACTGCCTGCCTCACCTGTGAGTGTGGGAGTTGCCCCCAAACACTCAGAGTAGAGTGGCTGACCGTACGGGCTCTGAAGCCAGGCTGCTCAGGGCTGAATTCTAGCTCTATTCCTTACTAGCTGTGTGAGCAAAGCAAGGTGCCTGTTTTTTATGTGCCTGTGTTTCCTCTTCTATAACGTTTTCTGAATAATACCTACTTCACAGAATTGACATGAGAATTAGAGAGAGGGCACTTAAAACAGGTGGTAGCACTCAATGTGACCTGTTAAACTATATCATTTTACTTATTTTTTGCCTTTGATGCTCTCTCTCTCTGGAGTATCCCCTATCCACTTTCTCTGCCTGAGAAATTGAGCATATTAGCCCAATGTCCCCTCCTTTCCAGAGGCCACCTTGCTTTACTTCATCAAATAATTTGATGCTTTTCCTCTACGTTCTTGTGGCTGTTTTAGACACCTCTTACAGCACCTGTCATATTGCAGTCATTTGTCTTACTGTTGTGTAGGTGTTTGCCCTCTTCATTGGATTATGAGTTCTTAAAAAGCAAGGGCCAGATTTTATATATTTTTTTCATCTCTAGGGATAAGACAGTCCCTGGAGTAAGCAGTTGACACTATCTGTTGAATTAATGAATGGATGGATGGATGATGGATAGATGAGCGAAGTGACTTGCCTAGGATCACAAGAGTTTAAATCAGGGTCTTCATTTAATTTATATTGGGAAAATTACTCTTCTGAGCCTCTGGTTTTCCGTCTGGAAAACATTTGATAATAATGGCACCTATATCTTGGTATTGGAAGGTTTAGCAAAGTATACATGGGGAAGTATTAAAGAATGTAAGCTCTAGAGTCAGATTGTATGGGTTCGAGTCCCCAGCTCCACCATTTATGAGCTGTGTGATCTTACAAATTCTTAACCTTGCCATGCCTAGAGGAGGCAGAACACATTAATCAGCTGTTGAGAAGATTAAAAGAGATACCCTCTGTGAAGTCCCCAGTGCCTGGCTCTGAGTAAGTATTCAGCAAGTAAATATTGGTTTCCTTCCCCAACCCCCACCTTCTCCAGACTTGTAGGGCTTGGACTCTGAATACTCAAAACAGCTGTTCAAATGCTATGTTTTGTTCCCAGTGACTAATGTCCCTTAAGCCAATGTTGGAAAGGCAACTCCAGATTGAGCTTATACTTGGGTACTGAGTTAGATGAGGGGAATGTGGCTGAGTGGTTTATTTAATTAATAAGGAAACTTCTGAAAAGAGGCAGTTTAAAATCAACAAATGTGTCAAAAAACTGAAAGCAAGAGCTAACCCACAATTTCATGTGTGGGTTTCACTGGAATAGTCCTTTATGTAAAGTCATGAATAATAGGATCATCCAAACCCAAATTTATGTTTTACAAACTGTAAGAGCAGTGATCAGAATTGGCTTTGGAGCAAATTAGCCAGTTAATCAGTGTACAACATTGTAACAATTCTTGAATTTCCTTCTCTATCACAGTATATTCTGATAAACTATTCAAAATTCTCCAATGGTCACATGTCAATTACTAAGCCAAAAGGTATGGAAGAAAAAGAGAAAGATCTTTTTATTTTGCACCTAGTCTCCCATCATGTTCCCCACAAGGATCTCCCCAAACCTCCTTCCTACGGTGGAGTTTGGAAGAGGCTGAAATACGGGTACCCAGGGCCCTGGAAGCTAGGACTGTTCGTGGCTCAGCCAGAAAATATTTGGCAGTTCAGTTCAAAGAGGAAATCCGAGAGGGCAGGGGCCTCAGTGGGCCTGGAGGGATGAGCTGCACAGAGAGGGAGGGAGAAGGGCAGGAATCTTTTTAGCAAAACCAGCTCCCTGCCAAGTAGGGCGTGTGTCTGAATTTCCGAAGAAAAGAGAGGATCATAGCGTAGTTTTAACCTCAGCCCTTCAAAAACTGGGGAGTTGTGCGTGTGTGTAATACTTCACTCTCTATTTCCCAAATAAACTCTATCTGCATCTTCCATCTGAATCTTTAACCTGACTCTTACTTACCCGTACCTTGAGCATTGTTGAAACCCTGTTGTAAGAACTCCTTCCTGATCTCTCCTGTTTGGGAATGAATCTCTACCTTTGTCTCTTACGTGCCCTTGGGACTTTATGTCCCCATTTTAAGACTGTGCACAAACTTATTTAATTATATGCCAGCCAACTTCCTTCATTCTTTTCCCCACTTATCGTCCTCTTTTTAAATAGCTTTATGGAAATATAATTGACATACAATAAACTGTGTGTATTTAAAGTGTACAATTAGATATGTACAGACATGAGAAACTCTCAGCACCAAATAGTAAGCATGTCTACCACCCTAAAACGTTCTTTGTGCTTCTTCAAATCCTTTCCTTCTGCCTCCCTTCCCTAAACAACCATGGATCTGCTTTCTGTCACTGTAGATCAGCTAGCATTTTCTAGAGTTTTCTGTAAATGGAATTATACAATATGTATGTACTCTTCTTTGATTGGCTTCTTTCACTGTGCACAATTCTGTTGAGATTCATTCCTTCAGCCTTCCCTCCTCACTGGATTGTGGACTTCCCTAGGTAGGAACGATGTCTTGCCCAGGGCATGGAGCTCAGTGATGGGAACAAAGCAAGACCCATGAAGGAGGAGGTAGTGGTGTGACAGGCAGCTCTGGATTTGCTGCAATAATATATGTGGCTTTCAGGCTACACTCGGTCACTTGTAGGTGGGTAGCCAGCAGTCAGTCAGTTACTGTCGCAGCCTCAGTTTCCTCATCGTAAATGGAGGGTGATGATAAACTCTCTTCTCTCTGGAGGGCTCTGTGAGACTCCACTGAGCCAGGAGATAAAGTGCTCTGTAAACTGTGAAAGGTCAGTTCTGGGCAAAGGATTAGGCCTGGATCAAGCCAGCAGGACACTGGGAATGCCCCAGCTCCCAGGGCTAGTCAAAGACAGCCTTGTCATCCAGGAAAGCCATGTGGATTTGCGATTCCTCGCAGAAATGGCCAATAAGAACTATGCCTGGTGGCCTTTAATCCTGGCCCAGTCACCAAAATGTCAAGGATTCTTTCCCCTTGACCCTTCCCTCTCCCCGCTTCCTCTGAGTGGGCTGTGTTTATTTACGAGGTCTCTCTCCCTCCAGAGGGCCACACGTGACCGGAGGATTCCTCTTCTGGCCTGGAGCCGGCTGATAAGGGCAGTCCATCTGCTAGGGGCTCCCAGGACCAGCAGGAACAGGAACCAAGCCGGTGGAGGGGAGCAGGGGAGACTGCCAACCCTGGCTGCAGCTTCCTCTGGCTAGAACTGAGGAGAAAGGGGAGAAGGAGAGAAGGAAATATTTGTCTCACATTTGAAGTCAACTTGACCTATGAAATCACACCAAACTTGGGGAGGCGGCCTATCTTCTCTGATGGACTGCATTTCTTACATGGTATTGCTTAATAAAGAGAAGTGAGGTGAACTGGAAGAGCCCAGAGACGGAGATTCAAGGCCTAGCACAGTCACTGATTTCCAGTGTGAGCTTGCCAAAGCTGTGTTCCCTCTCTGGGCTTTAGTTAATTAGAACTATTCACAAAATACCTACTATGTGTCAGCTACCACGCTGCATTTCCCATATAACCTTCAAAGCTATTCTGAGAAGTGAATATTCTTTCTCTCATTTTACGGTTGATGAAGCTGAAGTAACATGTCCAAGGTCACCTAGGAAATAACCAAATTATGAATTTAGTGCTGTCTGGCAACGGAATCCACTTTTTTTCCCTGAGAGATTAAGGACAACAATTCTCAATAAATTATTTGGCTGGGTGCTGGGGCTCACATCTGTAATCCCAGCACTTTGGGAGGATAAGGCGGGTGGATCACCTGAGGTCAAGAGTTCAAGACCAGCCTGGCCAACGTGGTGAAACTCCGTCTCTACTAAAACTACAAAAATTAGCTGGGCTTGGTGGTGCTGGCCTGTAATTTCAGTTACTTGAGAGGCTGAGACAGGAGAATCGCTTGAACCTGGGAGGAGGAGGTTGCAGTGAGTCGAGATGTCACCACTGCACTCCAGCCTGGGTGACAGAACAAGACTCTGTCTCAAAAATAATAATAATAAAAAATAATAGTAAATTATTTCTTGATCATACTCTGTGGAAAAAAAAGGCTCTGTGACCAGCTTAATATGGGGAATGCTGCATATAGTGTCCCTGTCATGATGACCCACAATTTCATTTTCATGTCTTAGAAGATTCTGAAAAATCTTGGAGTGAAGGAATTTAACTCCTTCATTTAATCAAAAATTTCTCATATTAAATTCATCACCAACCTCTTTTCCTCTGTAAACCTATTCATATGCCAAAGAACAGGTGCTCCTCAGAGCACTGTCTGGGGATCGTGGTTGAGTTAGAGGGATTGCAGAGTTTATCCATCTACTTATAAGAGTTTCACTAAGAGTGCTTTTTTAAACACATCCAGTGGTGAGAGGCTCCTTACCTAGTGAGAGAGCGTATTCCATTGTTGCACAAATGTAGCGGTTAGAATAGCGCTGCCCAGGAGAAAGATACTGAAAGCCACGTGTGATTCTAAATTTTCTAGGACCCACAGAATAAAAGAAAAAATAAAATTAATTTTAATCATGTATATTAATTAATCCAATAGACCTAAAATTATCATTTCAACCAGTAATCAAAATGATATTAATTTGATAGTGTACCTTCTTTTTTAATGAAATCTCTGAAATCCAGACAACCACATTTCCAGTGCTCAGTAGCCACATTTGGCTAGTGTCTAGCAAAACAAATAGTACAAGGTTAAAAGATTCTTTTTCAGGTGGTGCCTGAGATGGAGTCTCGCTCTGTCGCCAGGCTGGAGTGCCATGGTGCGATCTTGGATCACTGTAACCTCTGCCTTCCGGGTTCAAGTGATTCTCTGCCTCAGCCTCCCAAGTAGCTGGGACTACAGGCACACACCACCTCACCCAGCTGATTTTTGTATTTTTAGTAGAGGCGGGTTTTCATGATGTTGGCCAGGATGGTCTCGATCTCTTGACCTCGTGACCGCTTCAGCCTCCTAAAGTGCTGGGATTACAGGCATGAGCCACTGTGCCCGGCCGGTACTAAGCTCTTCTTACCTGTGCCTTTCCTCCAAGGTTTTTGGGGTCAAGGCATCTCTACATGGCCTCATAGGCAGCTGCCAGTCCCAAGAATAAGTTCTGCTTGGCTGTGTCCTCATACATCCTCCCTCAAGAGTTCCTCATCACAGTGCTCAGCCCTCTGGCAGTGATCTGCTAAGATCTGGCTTTCTCTGGAAAGGGTTTTCCAAACTTTAAAGTGCTGCATGAATGGAAGGCCTCATTCTCCTAACTCCTAATGAAGCAGGCTTAGACTCCCACAGGACTTCCCATGCTCTCATCACACTGGTATTTTATAGTGAACCTATCGGCAGTGGCCAACACATTGTCTAGTTTGGGCCAACTCCTTTCTGCTCCATGGGCCTCAATGTCAGTGACCCCATCTGTCAAATAACAGATTGGAGCTTTCTATGATTCACACACTTTTAGCCTTTTCTTATCCACACTTCTTGTGCCTACCTACCAAACTTCTTATTAAACCAAGTCTTCTGTTAGAATTCAGAAATCGTTTTATCTTCCCGTATGCCATATAATAAGCATTTCTTGAATGTTTGTCATGTGTCAGGCACTGTGCTAAGAGCCTTAGAGATAACATCTCATTTAAGCCTCTCCATACCCAAGTGAATTAAACACTATTATTATCTCCTTTTATAATTGTGGAAACTGAGGCTTCAAGCAGTTGCATCATAGATCACATGCCTAATGAGAACAGCTGGAGATCGCAGTGCAGGCTGTTCTCATGGCTCCCCAATCCTAGGCTGTGAATCAGGACCAACCCTTGGACCTGAGCTCAGCCCAGGCCTCAGATTACAGAAGAGAGAACAGGGGTCTAGGGAAGTTTTTTTTCTTTTTTCCTTTTGTTGTTGTTGCTGAAACCCATAGCGCATCCTCCTTTCTGTTTTGCAGAGGAAGGAAATATGGTTATACTTTCCTTGCTAAGGAAATCCAACCCTCCACATGTCGACTTTCTTCCCTTCCCCTTGACCTTTTAGGAAAAAGGTGAGGCCCCTGGAAGACTCTGGGAGAGACCAGAGGAGCTCAAAGTGCCCTGTCTAGGGCAGGGGTATTTTTAGAGCTGGCTGCACACTGTTTACAAGGAAGCCAGTCCCTTGAGCCTGCCCTCGCCCTGCAGGGAAACACCGGCAGCCAGCCCCACCCGCTGGCCCAGGCTCCTGCTGGCCCTCCCTTCCTCCCTCCCTCCCAGCTGTTCCTTTCTTATCGTCTCTATCAGCACGTGGGCTCTATCAGCATGTGGTGTGCTATCATTACCACCCCGAGAGCACAATTGAACAAAACTGTAGCCTGGGGTGCTGAAAACCTCTTAGAGAGGCCCAGGTGTGACCAGGTACTGGGAAAAAACAAGAAGCTGCCATCGGTGGAGAAGATGGCCCTGGCAACTGGCGATCAACTGGAAATCCTGCAAGTGGGTATTTCTCCCGTGAAGGAGCTGTGGAACCTCATTGTCCTGGACGTCCTGAAAGTGAAGGCCTGATAACTGGAGAGGGTGACTTGGGGGAACGATGAGGCCACAGGCCTGGACCAGGAGCCAGTTTTGCTTCCAACTCTTACCATAGGCCGGACGCTGTCAACTGTAAAAAGTCACTTACCTTTCAGAGCCTCTCTTTCTGCTGCTGTAAATCGAGGAGGGCCTGAATGGTGAGGCCCATCCAATCAATGACTGAACGTCTCAGGCTCCTCAATGATGAAATGAGAGTACTTAGGCCTGCCTCATGGGGCTGGTGGTGGATATTAAATAGGGTTAAGCCCCTGGCACTTGATGGGCATGCAGTACATGTGGCCATGAAGGGTACTTTCCTTATCTTTAGCACTTCACAGTGTCTAGCACAAAGTAAGCACTCAGCAAAAGATGCTTTTCTTTATTCTAGCTCAGAGTTCTTCCACTTCTAAGACTATACAGAAGCTCTCTCCAACTATGCACTTTTTATTATTATTATTTCTTTTTATTATTATTTTTTTGAGATGGAGTTTCGCTCTTGTTACCCAGGCTGGCGTGCAATGGCGCGATCTCGGCTCACCGCAACCTCCACCTCCTGGGTTCCGACAATTCTCCTGCCTCAGCCTCCTGAGTAGCTGGGATTACAGGCACACACCACCATGCCCAGCTAATTTTTTTTTGTATTTTTAGTAGAGACGGGGTTTCACCATGTTGACCAGGATGGTCTCCATCTCTTGACCTCGTGATCCACCATCCTCGGCATCCCAAAGTGCCAGGATTACAGGCGTGAGACACCGCACCCGGCCTGCACTTTTTATAATTAAGTACTTATTCCTTCTCCCCCAGCCCTGTGCCCATCCCGCTATGCTTCAGGAGTCTTATAGAAGATATCAGAACGCCATTTCCTGAGTCCCAGTCTGCGTCTTCTAGAAAAGACTGTCCCTCTTCACCCAAGCCCACTGGCTGCTGAGACACATCATCCAGACCCAGTGCAGCTGGACCTGGCCCAGGTAAGCCAGGCTTCCTAGGGTCCCACCCCAAGCTTGGAGGGCTGGGTGGGAAGCTGGACCCAGGCAGCCCCACCCCCTCCAAGCTTCCCCAGATGTGGGTATAGAGATTACAAAGCCTTCAGCTTCCTCAGAGGACATGCCCTTCCTCTTCTGCCCTGTGGGCAGACTGGACTTCTCTAGCAGCTGCATGAGATTGCAAGATTGTTATTTGAGGTGGGTAAATTCTTACCAAATATTCTCCTCCTCACTGCCTCCTCCACCTACCCCATTGATTTCCCTCTTCCCTTCCCATCCCTTCTCCTTCCTCCTCCTCTACTTCCTCCTTCTTTTCTCCTTCCTCATACTCATTCTCTCTTCCTCTTCCCTACAGCTGTCCTTTTGATCCAAGTGACAGCCTGCTTATATTCTGAAGAGGGGACTCACCGAGGAGAGAAGGATTGGCTCCTCTCTGTGGCTTCACGTCTCCCCTCTCAGTCCTTCCACAAAGTTATCCACAAAGATATTCTGGTTGCCTCTGGTTTATGTGCATAGCAAGGGGCTTGCACAGAGCTGGTTAGCCTGCCGGCCTGGGCCAGACAAGCACATTTGGTTGGTTGGGTTGCTTATTAAAAAGGTGTCACTTCCAGCCACCTTCTGTATTGTCTCAAGGTCTTGCATACATGCTCTGTTTCTAGTCATTTTACTGTGTCTTCAACAACTTCCCTCACAACATATTACCTTAACATTAACTAGCAGGCGCCACTTTGGGAGAATGTGTTTCTTCTCTCTGTTCCCTGCCCACAAGGAAAGAGAAGCAGCACGTTTTTGTTGTGTTGTTGTTGTTCTTTTTGAGACTGTGTCTCACTCTGTCCCCTGAGCTGGAGTGCAGTGGCATGATCTCGGCTCACTGCAACCTTTACCTCCCCAGTTCAAGTGATTCTCCTGCCTCAGCCTCCCAAATAGCTGGGATTACAGGCACCTGCCACCATGACCAGCTAAGTTTTGTAGTTTTAGTAGAATCAGGGTGTTGCCATGTAGGCCAGGTTGCTCTCGTACTCCTGACCTCAGGTGATGCACCCACCTCAGCCTCGCAAAGTGCTGGGATTATAGGTATGAGCCACTGCCCCCGGCCAAAAAGTAGCATGTTTAATAGCACAAATGACTAAATGAGTAACAGGGCCACTCATAGGTGGCTTGAGTGTGGAGTACTGGCAAGGAAGGATGTCGGAGAAGAGGCTGGAGACCCAGCATGGGCCAAATCATGCCAGCAGCTACCGCTGGAAGCCATTGTCCCTCTCATTCTGTAGCAGGGACTGCCTCTAGCAAGACGTGGAGGCTGGGCTAGAGAATGGAGAAAAGGAGCAGGTAGACCTGGTGGAAAAGAGTGACAATTCTTCTGGCCCCACCAAGCCTTTTTAATCCCAAATCTTTTCTTCCAAGCCACCCCTGCCTTTACAAATCTCAAGGGTTCTAAGAGGCATGTATTCATTCCCGAGCCACTTCTATTCTCTCTCTCTCTTACACATACACACACACACACGCGCGCGCGCAAGCACGCGACACCGAAGGGTGGTTACAAAGCTTTAAAAAGTAAGACAATGTTAGAAGGAAAGCCCTTTGGAAAGCACAAGGAGTTCTCTTTCTGCTTGCCTTCAGTGCTCTTCGCATTCTACGAGGGGAAATCCTCACCCGGAAAACCTTGTTCACACTGGCACAGGTCCCAGGGTGTGAGCCCCGTGGAGGCTGGGTCTCTCTGTTTCCATTTCCCTTGTTGACGTCCAGTGCGATTGTTGTTAGCTCACAGATGGACAGGCAGTTCTCCATGACTTGCCAGCTGCCAGGCTGATTCCGCTTTGGTTCCCTAGGAGAACAAGCCTGATATCAAGGATTCAGAGGGGGCCAAGGGGCTCGGGTGTCCAGATGGAGTCAGACAAGGGCTTATGTTTAGGCTGCAGCTTCAAGATAACCTGACACTTCTATGAGGCTTCCCAGCAAGAGAGAAGTTGGTGAGGTGACCTGGGAGTTAGGAAAGAAGGAGCAACAGGGGAGGAGAGGGAGTCCCAGGAAGAGAGACGGAGCTTCAGCTTCGCAAAGGCACAGAGGTGTGAGCAAGCAGGACGGTTTGCAGTTTGTGACTGCTGCTCCCCTGAACACAGCTTCCCTGTTAATTAGTTGCATTTTTGCTTTGATCACTTCTCCCCAGCTGCCCCATCCCCATCAAGTACAGGTTCCGTGCAGATTCTACCGTCCTGTAGGTCTCTACTGTCCATCTCCTCTTCTCTATCCCTACGGCCATTGTCTGGGACACATGGTTCTTCCAGCCTAGACTAATTAGAACAGAACAGTTTTCTAACCGATCTCCTTGCCTCTAGTTTCTCCTGCCTTCCAATCCATCCACCTCATAGCTGCCAAAATAATCTTTCTGACATACAAATCTGAACGTGCTGTGTTCCTTTTCTGCTCAAATTCTTCAAAGTCAAGTGGTCCCATGACCTCTGGGACCACTTCTGTAGCTTAGGACTCAGAACCTCCATTATCTGATCCCATTGTCTTTCACTCCTGCCTAATTTCCCAACAAAACCTACACAAACCCTGGGTTATTGCCGCACTAAATATCAGTTCCCCCAAATGAGGCATACAGTTTAATGCTGTCTGTCGCTCTTCCTTTTACCTGGAATTTCCTCCACCCCATCTTTCTGGCTACCTCCTACTCCTTCTTCAGAACCCAGCTAAGGAGTCAAACCCTCTAGAAATGTTTTTCTGATCCCTTCTCTGCTCTCAGAGCCCACTGTACATGTATCTCTAGCACTGAGGTTCTTAGGGCTAGAATTCAGGAGCTTTGTGAATTTGTATGGGGAAAGAAATGCTCACTAACCTGTACCTAAAATTAATGTAACATTTCCTTCAATTATGAATGTAGGCTTAAATCACACTAACATCAATGTTTCCTGTAATTTATCACTAATAGAAATCATAGTTATTTTTATATCACTTTACAGTTTTTACAGGTTATCTAAAAATTTTACCTATGATTATCAATATTTTGAAACTAAAATAGTTAATAGACCTGTAGATCTGATTACTCAGAGTGTACAAATATGAAACCACATACATTATTACCAGTTTTTTTTGTTAACTTTTGAAAAATCATTGCTTTCTTTGCTATTTATGTATTTAATTTTATGCATTTTAAAATGTTATTCTGAGAAGAGGCCCAGGGCACCACCAGAGTGTCCAAGGGCTTCCCAGCATGAATGGCGGCACCTTCTCTGGTATAATCTTACAGCCCCACTGTTAACTGTTGGTTTATCTTGTCCTCCTCTATTAATACAGTGCGTACATCTTGAACGAAGGGGGCCCTTCTTTTACCTGCAAGACAGTGCCATGCATGGCACTTAGCATATTCCTAGAAATATTTTTTGAAATAAATACATGCGGACAAAAAGGAAGAAAAGAAAGGAAGGAAGAAGGGAAAGAGGGAGAAAATTTGATCTTCAAAGGCCATCTGCTCTTCCCTCTGCCTTGGACACTCTACTCCCAGCTGTCTCTGTGACTAGCTATCCTGCCTCCTCTGTGCCTCTGCTCTAATGTGATCTTCTCAGGGGGACCATCCATAGCACTGTATTTGAAATTACAGTTCCACCCCACAGGCATGCTCTGTCCCCCTTCCCTGCTCTGTCTTCTTAACACTTAGCACCATCAGACACACCATGTGTTTCTGACTTTTTATTTATTAACTCCTTGCCTCGCCTCACTAGAATGTAACCTTCATAAGGGCAGGGGCCTTTACCAATTCATTCTTGTCTGTATCCCTAGCACCTTAAATAACACTCAACAGATAATAAGCATTAAGTAACTTGAATGGGTCAATGGAAGCAAGCAAGTGGTGAAGGCCCATCAGTGGGCATGAGCCCCATTCTGTTGGGAGAGATTGAAGGCTGCCAGGGTCAGTGGAAGAGCCAACTGGCAATGGGTGAGTGGTGGGAAGAGGTTTGGGTTGTTTGGATTGGGCATGGACAGAAGGATCTGGCACCATGGCTGGGGAGTTGGGCCCTGTGGCACAGTGCCTATATTCAGAGGAGAAATGACAGAGTCCCAGGAAGGCTGATTGACCTGGGAGCAGGACTGGGGAACAGTATGGAGGCTCACAGGTAACACGTCTAATCTCAAGGCCATTGCTGTTGGATCAAGAGCCCAGATTTGGGAAACTCCTGCCACCCTATTTTCCTCAGTGTCTGGGAAAACCAAAGCCTGTTCAACTGTGAGACCTGACAGCTCCAAGAGCTCAGAAAGATTCAGGAATCACAATGAGTATGGCCCCTGGATTCCTCCTCTGCCACAATGCTTAGTCATTGAGGTGGTGGTGGTCCGTCCTCCACTAGGCAGTGAGCTTTCTGATGACAGCACTACCTCACAGTCTTCACTTGTTAGTAGTACAAGGCAGGTCTGACAGGCTATTTATTGTTGGAAAAGTTGTGATTAGAAAATCACAAATGTGATATTGATCATTCGATTGAATCATGGGGAGAGTAATGAACTTCAAGCTCCTACGGTAACCAGGTACTGTACTGGCTATCTGGGCCACATAGCTGAGTCAACTGGGGTCCCTCATCTCCAGGAGCTTGTGGCAGAGGGGGAGCAATGGGCAATAACAACACAGTGTGCCAAGGTTGAGGGGCCACAATTAGGAAACTGCCTCCCCCAAATCTTCTGGTACTTACCAACCTAAGTTACATTATTATTTAATTACTTGTACTCTGTCCTCCCATAAGACATAAGCAATGAGAAAAGCTTTGTCTTGTTCACTGCTCTCCTCCTAGCACATAGTAGATGCTCACTTAGCTTGAGGAAGCACAGAAAGTTGCAGGTACCTAGCTCAGTCCAGGGTTGGGAGACTCAGAAAACTTCCAGCAAGAAGAGGCCTTGACCAAGAACACAGCATTCCAAAGCTCACGTCCTTCAGCATTCCTTATTTAATGACTTCTTCGCAATTCAGCAAAGTCACACCCATTTTATGAATGAAGAAACAAATCTCAGAGACAGGAAAAAGCTTGGTAAAGGCCACTCAGCTGGCAGAGCAGGGCCCACATCTCCTGCTGAAAGTCTGAGCCTTCTCCATACTATTCTACCTCCTGCTGACACATGAAGAAGACTCCTTGTGGCAAAGGGTGACCTGCTGTCCATGCAGCTTCTGAGAAGGTGAGAGACCATTCCCAGGGAATGGAGGGGGCTGAGTCCAGAGAGAGATAGATCATCATCTCCAACATCAGCAGCTAAAGGAATGTACTTTCCCAGGAGCTCTACACATGTTCACTCATTCTTCATAATCACCTTGTACTGGAGGTTTGATTATTGTTCCCAATTTATAAATGAGCAAACTGAGGTACTATTAGGTAACTTTCTTACATCACACTAGTGGTAAGGAAAATGTCTTGGGTTTAAACCCACACAGTTGATCTTAGAGCCTTTACCTTTAACCATTTTGTCTCCTGCCCCAATAGAGCATGCCCACCTTGCCCAACTCTGGGAGGCTACTAGAAACTTCCCAGTTAAGCACTCTTCATGTTTTAAACATGATACTGGGTACTCTGAGGAAGAGCTACAAAGAATAAATGTCTAAACTTCCTGCCTTCAAGAAGTTGCCAACTCAGAAAAGACATAAGAAATAAATGAAACTAAAATAAAAGGTACAATGTACTTGCACCGAGGATAGGACATTTGAGCTGAGCCTTGTAAAGAGAGAATGGTGCTCCAGGAACAGGTCTCAGCATATACCACCTCATCCAGGCATGGCAGTAAGCTCCAGGTTAGGGGAACATCAAATCAATTTGTGTGTCTGGGGAACAGAGGGTATGGGTGAACATAGGGGCATGTCAAAGGAGAATTGAGCCCCAGATCCTGGAGAGTTTGAATTAATACAGTACATGAATTTGCTCACTGTTTAGTAGATGCTGACCAATCAGACGTGAGGGAAAGAGGAAGTAATATAATCTGACCTGCGTTTTAGGAAGATCATGGGGTGTCTTGGAAGCAATGGAGAAGGAAAAGGCTAAAGAAAGAAAGACCAGTGAGTCACTTAGCTCTGTCTGCAAAATCAACCACCCTATAACCTAGAGGCCTAAAATAAACACTGTCTTATTATTGTTCACAAGTCTAGGAGCCAGTGGGCAATTCTGCAGTCAGCTACCTGCCCACGTGTTTGGTGGGTACTGGGCAGGGCAATGGAAGTGACTGGGGCACATGTCTCTTATTACCTTAAGCGGCTTCTCATGGTAGATGGTTGCCAGGTTACCAAGAAAAGCAAGAAAGAGCAAGCCCTGATGCACAGGCTCTTTTTGAGCCTTGGCTTATGTCATATTTCTTAGTGTCTCATTGGCCAAGCCCAGACTCAAAGGGTGGCATAATAGACAGCGTTTCTTGATGGCAAGAACAGCAAACTCATATAACAAAGTGGTGTGCATAGGGATGGGATGAATTTGAAGTCATTTTTGTTAGGAGGCTGTTTTTGTAATGGGCTAAGCAAGAATTAGTAGTTGCTTAAATTAGGAGATAGCAGAAGAAACAGAGAGACGACCAGAATATATCTGAGACATATTCAGGAGATGATTATCAGGAAGAGGAAAGAATTCAGGATACCTCCTGGATTTTTGGAGAAAGTATTTGGACAGTTGGTTCTTTGTATCAATGAAGGGACCAAAAGGAGAGGCAGGTTTAGGAGTTGTAAATACATGCCAGCTTATATGATTCCGCTGAGGTCTATGAATGTGCTACCTTCCTTTCTTAGAGAAATGTTCTTTCCCCAGGCCTCCCCCGACTCTGACCATGTATCCACATGGAAAGTGAGATCACTTACATGACCCTGCCTTCCTAACAGTAGTAATTGGCCAGATGTAGACATCTGATTCAAACTGGGAGTGCCTAGTCCCACATCCACTGCCAGCCAGGTCCACCATGTACAGTTGTGCAGGTTATGCCCTGTACAAGCTTGTCTGGCAGCAGGGATAATAAGTGGGGACTGGAATACAGCCTACGCTCTGCATGGCAAGCTTGCATCTGTGGAGCTGCAGACACTCAGAAGTTAGTGCCCTCTTCTAACTCCCACAGAAGTGCTCTGTGCTGCCAGCCCCAGTGACTGGTCTAGGGGTAGGCCCATATGCCACACTAGGTAAATTGGACTCCCCTAGCAATTATGCCATTGGCGCACATGGGAAAGAGGTTTTTTTCTACTCTGGCCCTAAAACTATACAGATGGGAGTGTGTAGTATCCACATCCTTGTGATGTTGAGGAAACTGCTGAGAGAGAATGAGGGCAGTACATCAATGAATTCAGAAAACGGAGGTGTAAGAGAAGGAGAGCTGTCAGAATCAGAGCACCCTGTTCCAGTCAACTCTGCCCTTCCTTGGTAGTTTAGTTTCTTCATCAGTTCTTTGATTGTCCCTATATTCTTCTGATTTAAATTCTCCTTTTTGACTTATGCAAGTTCAAGTTGGGTTTTTGCTTCTTGTAACCAATACAATCTTACACAATAAAGTAAAGAAGTTCATGTGTTTAGATTTGGAGAGGAGGAGATTGGCATGAAAGACAGGTCACAGGGTGAATTGAAAGAACATGATGACCAGTTTGATGAGAGTCATGAGAGAGAAGGGGTATCCTGGGGAAGTTCTGGGCTTTTGGCTTGAGAGACTGTAGAGGGATGGGGATCTCAGCAGAAGTAGGCAACCCAAAAAAGAAACTGTGTTGGAGAGGATGGAGGGAATATGCATTCTTCCATTTATTCATGGAACAATGGTCTCCCAAGCCTTGTCTAGGCACTGGGGACTCAGCAGTGGATAAGGTGAACTTAGATACAGATAGTATCTGTAGAACATCATTGACTATTTATTCAACAGTGAGCACCCACTCTAGGCCAAGCATTGTATCTAGAACTGAGCATAAATCTAGGCGGTGATGTCCAGCAGGCAGCTGGAAAGAGGGTGGAGCTGGCATTTCTTTTGTAAGCATCATCCCCATGGGGATAATTTTGGAAGTTGTGGGAGAGAGCACTTGGAGAAGAAAAGTCTAGTTCCACAAGCCTTGTCCATCATGCTTCGGCTTCATTCGTGGGTTGGGAACACAGTGTTTCTTTGGCTTGTATGGCTGTGAGGCAGACACAGAGAGAGTATGAGTGGAGGAGCCCAATCTGGGGCCAGCCTGGGGTCAACAGCAGCCCTACCAGGTAACTGATCCTGTATGACCTGACTGAGTTGGCTAATCTCTCAGAGCCTCAGTTTTCTCAGTTCCTGAAGAAAAAACAAGAATGCTTATCCCTGTGTTAAGAAAAAAATGTTTGTAAAAGTGTGTTCATTCAACCACAAACAGGTATTGAACACCAATACATGCCATGTTCCAGGGTAAAAACCTCAAATGGGAGTATCAGAACCATCATCTGAGAGCCATCATCATCTCTGTGGCTGCCATAGCTGGCTTCTGCTGCCCCTAAATCTGCCAATCTCCCCCTGCCCCCCACCAATCAACACTAATCTGCCCCTTCCCCAGCCCATCTGAAAGGCAATATTTTTGTGATTAGCAAAGAAAGAAAAAAACTCATGTTGTGCTGTCCTCTGGAGAGCTGGTTTCCAGAGCGGCAGAAAAAGGGCCCACGTGAACCATGCTGTTCTTGGCAGCCTCTGTGCTGTTCCTCACAGCCAGAGGCTTAGAGCTTTATTTGTGGTTTGAGTTACAGGCAGGGGTGAAAACCCCAGGAAAGTGGGGGGAAGGGAGAAAACATTTTAAAAGTTGAGAAAATTGCCCTGTGTGCTCAAGTGCAGGCAATTTGTCCAAACACCTGAGCTCTGTAGAATCCTAGTGGTCTGACTGTGGTTTTATACTCTGGGGCTCTGGGCCCAGTGTCAAGGGCGGGGAACATTTTTTCATACATTAAGAAAATCGCAAAATCACTTTTTACAAGATATTAATGAATACCTTTGCTGCTTCAATGGTGACATTGTTGGAGGTTTTGAAAAAAATCCAGGTTAAGGTTTGGGGGTGATTTTTGCTTTGAAGGCTGCTCCGTAAGGTATTTCACAGTCATTAAACAGGAGCTTTGGATGTTGCCCCCAGGATCCCTCGCAGAGGACACTAAATATTTTAGAGATAAAAGAGCCCTTTAAGATCTTTAAATCCAACCCTCTCCTTACACCGATGATACAAACAAGGCCTAGAGGAAGTAAGAAACATGTCCAAGGTAGCACAGCAAGTCTGTGTAGAAGCAAGCCCGGAAGCCAGGACGTGGAGGTCTTTGCAGCAGCCGCTGAGGCAGCCTGGAGGTGACATTGCACCTCAGAAACCACGACTGGCCTCCCCCTCATGTTGACATTTCTGCGGCAGTGACTTTGAAAGCTGCCTTTTATGGCTCTGGCTTTGGAAGGGCAAACACTGTTATCAGTAAAACAACACAGGTGCCTTCTAGAGTTGGAGCCAGGTGGAGCCAAGCAGGAAGGGAGACCCCTCTGCACAGGCAGACATGACCCAATCACCTGTCTGGGTTCAGAAGGGTGCAAAGACCCTCCTTGGGGAGTGGAACAAGAGGCTTCTGTGGTGATGAAGGGCATGGCTAGGAGGCCAGACAGGATGGCTTCAAGTCCCAGCAACATGCCTGGCTAAGTGCAACCTCAGTCAGCTCCCCTGACCGAGCGTCAGTTTCCTCAGCTAGAAAACAGGGACACTGATAGCTGTGTTCCATGACTGAGCATACTTTAAGTGCTCAGTAGCCACATGTGGCTAGTGGCTCCTGTATTGCACAGCACAGATACAGAATTATCACAGAAAATCCTATCATGCAATGCTGGTAGGGGCTCTCGGCTCTTGACTTTAGTTCTGGATATCACCCACTGCAGCTACTGAAAACAAGACTGGTCCAGGTGAGGTCTCCAGCTCTAAGGTCTGGGACTCACGGCAGGGACATCCACAGTTCCTGGCTCCTCTCTCTAGCTTTTAGTCTTCTCTATTACTGCAACGATTTGGCTTCAAGGTTGGACCCTGACTGAGTGCCTTTCTTCTGCTTCCCTGAGCAGAACCCCAGGGTGAGAGGATGTGTGGGATGAGGGGAAGACGCTGGACCATGCCTCCTGTAATGGCAGGTGTCCAGAGTCTGAAAGCCTTGGGTTCCTGGCTCATTCACTCAGGTGTTAATGGCTCCGGGTAAGTCACCGAACCTTTCAGAGCCTCAGTTCTCCCATCTGTACTCACTCTGGTAAGGGGTCACGAGGTAATGGAGGGAGAAACACTTTGGAATCTGTGAAGTACACTGTTCAGAATGAGAAACTTCTACAAGTAGGGGATTGACATTCTCCTTGCTCTGCTCCTTTCTTCACTGAAAGAGTATTTAGATAGAGGCAGATAGCTGCCTTAGAATAGATGCAAAAAGATGTTTTATTTAGAAACATTTTCCAGACGTCTGGAGACGAGAAGAACCTGGTATCCCAGAGACACCCTAAAAGAGTCCCCTAAAGGAGAATGGGAAAAGGAAATCACTCTCTGAACACCTATTATATTCTAGATACTGTGACAGTCCTTTTCATATGTGACGAGTGGCGATGATGCTGCTGCTGGCTGACAAGGAAGCTGAGTACCCACTGTGTGATAGGGGCCATTTTGAGTGCTGTACATATATTATCCCCATTTTACAGATGAGGAAGCTGAGGCGCTGCAAAGTAAAACGAAGTTTCCAAGGTCACCCTAAGCTAAGATGTAAATCGCAGCAGCCAGAGTCCCAGGGCCGTGTGCATAGTCATCTCCACACTGCATTCGTAGTCTGCACTCCTGTAACACCACCTGCCACTTTCAGATAAGGAACTGAGCCTCAGGAAGATTAGGTTACTTGCTTAGGGTCACATAGAGGGGAGAGAGGAGGTTCATTGAGTGTTTTGCTTTTTTTCTTCTTTCTTCAGAAATATTTCCTTCTTTGGCCATCTTTTTGACAAAAAAGGCATTGTTGATTCATTTGCGTCTGATTCTTTCTTCCCATTATTTCCTCTCTTGAGTCCTGTTTTCCCCTTAGGATCAGACAGAAGAAGTCTACCGCCTTGTTCACAGGGAAATCTCTGAAATACCCAAAGCCTATCCTCCCAACATTTTTGCTTCTTTTCTTATCCAGGAAAAGAAATACAAGTTTGGCAAAGATGGCAGTGCCGTTCCCTGCAGTGTCCCCGTTCTGCTCTATTGAATAAGTTCCGGTTTGACTATGACTACATGAAAATGTGGAATCAGACCTTCACCCCACATTCCGTCTCCAGCTCTACCACAGAGGAAGTGCAATATCACCTTAGTTATTCAACACATTATGCTCCTCGTGATACAACCAGCATTGGTTCACATCAGCAATCTTGGCAGCTCTCACCATGCTGCTGACTCACGACTCTCTCATGTCCCAATTTCCTGTCCATTGTTCTTTCCTCTACTTGGCCTGATTTCCAAAGGCCTCTCTTGGTTGCATTAGGAGGGATTCCTGAGGAATTCCCTCGGCAGTTACCCTGGGGGAGCCCTCAGGTTTGGGGCTGATCCATGTCCTCTAAATGTAGGACTTCAAAGCTCTCAAAGATAGGCAGACCCAGTGGGAAGCTGCGAAATGGTCTCTGACCCCTCTGGGAGAGCTGGCAGTCAGAAGGCCTTTTGGAAAGAGTCAGATCTGATCCATAAGTGCCTGGAAAACACCCTGTCTGGGAATAAATGCCACTGTGGCCTTGACTGAGGCTTCAGAAGAATTTAGGAGCTGCAATTCATACACACGTGCATTCATTTTCAAGTAGTGGTTTTCAGTTCAGGCTTTGGAGCCACATAAGCCTAGCTTCAAAGTCACTTTCCAGCTTTGTGACTTTATGAAGTCTCCACATTTTTAAACCTCCATTTTTTTCCTATAAAACCGGGGCCTTCATCATTCTTACTTCATCGTGATATTGAGGGAATGAAAAGAGAAAGCATAAATAAACGGCTTAGCCTCGTGCCTTGGCACATAGAAAGTGCTCAGCATTTGTGATTATTTCTTCATGTCTTTGTTCTCCTGGTAAAGCATTTATTCAGCAAGTGTTCACCAAGAGGCTGCCGGGGCAGCTGGGCTCCGCGGCAGAAAGAACACAGATGCTAATAAAAGCCTGAGCACAGGATCAGGCTCTTTTGGTAAAGATGCTCCAGGGGACCAGCTGAACGCTTTACAGGGACCTTGCTCTGGCTCTGCATTTGGACTGCTGAGCTCCCACTCACTTCATCCCCCACCCACAGCACACACACCAGCTTCTGGGCCATTTTGAGTTTGGAGCGTCTCAGATTACGCTCAGTGTGACCTTGGGCAAATCCTATCACTCATCTCAGCCTCTGGCACATTTTCTATAAAACAGAGATAATAATACCCACCGTGCCAAGTTTCGGTAGCAGATTAACCAACAGCAAATGTGAAGTGCCCAGCCAAGCCCAGCATGTGCTTGATGCTCCACAACTTCTAGCTTCATTCCCCCCATCATGCCTTCCATAACCATGTGCCCAGCTTGGGCTAGATGCTGGTGGTCAAAAGATTAAAAGAAGTTAGACCTGCCTGCAGGGAATTTAAGCTTTGGTGGAGGAAATAAATAGTTGAACCTCTACCCCAGAGAAAGAGGGCTAAGGGCTGTGATGGAATTATGTCTGAGGGGTTATGGAACACAAGGAAGGGCAAATCACTTGGCCAAGTGGCCCTCAGTTTCCTCGTGTGTCAAATGAATGAAATTGGTTAGCACCCCACGCGAGATAATTTCAGTGACTTAGTGAAACTACATGTTGGAAAGTTTCACTCTGTGCTAGTACTTCTATTTATTTATCTGTTTCCCCATTAGAACTTCACCTACTTGAAGGGGATATCTTCTTTTTTTTTTTTTTTTTGAGACGGAGTTTCACTCTTGTTACCCAGACTGGAGTGCAATGGCGCTATCTCGGCTCACCGCAACCTCCGCCTCCTGGGTTCAGGCAATTCTCCTGCCTTAGCCTCCCGAGTAGCTGGGATTACAGGCACGTGCCACTGTGCCCAGCTAATTTTTTGTATTTTTTAGTAGAGACGGGGTTTCACCATGTTGACCAGGATGGTCTCGATCTCTTGACCTCATGATCCACCCGCCTTGGCCTCCCAAAGTGCTGGGATTACAGGCGTGAGCCACTGCGCCCGGCCGAAGGGGATATCTTCTAAGCATATGTCTTATTCATTCCTCTGTCCCCAGCACACTGACATAGAACTGGTGCCCAGTCAACATCTGTTGAGTAAACTGATAGAAGGATTTATAATCTAATTTTATCCTCCCAGAGCCCAGAGAGATACATCATCCTATAGATGGAGGAAAAACTGAATACAGAGTTCAGTGAGTGGCCTGGCAGTCAGTGGCCAAGCCAGGCATCTTGGAACCTGTGGTGATGACCTTTCTGCTAGATTTCACAACACAGGCCACTGTGGCTCAGGTGGGGTGACACTGCTCTCCTCGAGGTGACTCAGCTTTCCCTGGGGGGTCACCAAACCAATCCATCAGCCTTCACACTGAGTCATGGGCTGAGGTGAACTTCAGACCTGAGGAGAGAGCAGGGCTGCCCTGTGACATGGGTGTGCCCAGGGTTCCCTCAGTCCAGCTGAGCACACCACCTGGGAAATCCCTCATAGGGTAAAGATGGGGCAGGGACAAGGGCGTCACACCAGATCCACACCCATCTCCCGCAAGACTGTCTAAAGAGCAAAACCTGTCCTGTCACTGTGATTGGTGGGCTCTGACTCAGAGGCGGCGCCCCTTCTCCATCGCCAGTGTCCCGTCCTCAGCATTGGCCCCAATCATCTTTTGTCCTGCCTGGATTCCCAGCCTCCACCCTACCAACCTTCCTTTCAAAGAAGTTAAGTGATTTGCCATAACCACACATTATGAGTGTCATGTGCTTATGTTCAGACATTCTTGACTGGCTCCCTAATCTAAACCCCCAGCTCAGCACTCAAGGTCATCTTGCTGAAGCCTCAGCCTACTTTTCCCATTTTTTCCTCTATACACCCTTGAATCCTTCACTTTAGATGGGTCTGTGTGTTGCTATTCTTCAGAGTTACCCTTTATTTTCCCTTCTCCTTGCCCTTGCTAATATACTAACTCACTTTCATCTGGAATGCCCTTCCTATGTCTTATCCATACTTCAGATCTGAGCTCAAAAGCCACCTCATTCAGGAAGCCTGCCCAGATCTCCTCAGCCCAAACACTAGGATAATGCCAGTTATGTTTATTGATAATTTCTGTTGTGCAAATACTGTGTATACTGTGCAAAGTATGATCAGTACTTTATATGCTTCATTTAATGTGATACTTCCAACAATCTTACAGGTAAGTGAATATTTATTACCCCCATTTTATAGATGTGGAAACTGAGACTCAGAAAGGAGAGCTAACTTGTCCACATTTACATGCCTCTCAAATGCCAGTCTGCCCGACTCCAGGTTGCTCCATGACTTTGGTTTGTGCTTCGCATGTTCTTTGCACCTCTTTGGGGTACTCATCTTGTTGGGTGCTGTATTTTCCTATGAAACTCATCCACTCAGTTCTACTGTGATCTTCCTGAAGACAGGTGACCAGTGTTGTAGGTAGTGTCTGACATAGACTGGGCCATGAGGCAGATAGCAAGAGCAAAAGAGCCAGAGTTATGGAGCACCGCCATGTGCTAGTCCATGCTAATTACCATACACATACGTACATAGCATTTAAGTCTTGTCAGTCTCATTTTATAGACGAGGAAATGGAGGCACAGCAAGGCTAAATAACGTGACAAAATCTATGAGAAAAAAAAATTGAGGTAGACCTACATGGAATCATCTCAAAAATATGCCATTAAGTGAAAAAACAAAAAAATGGAGTGCCTGTTTGCATCATGTGCTCTCACTAGGGAAAATTAAAACATAATAAAACACACATATGTGGCCAGGTGCAGTGGCTCAGCCTGTAATCCCAGCACTTTGGGATGCCAAGGTGGGTGGATCACAAGGTCAGGAGTTCAAGACCAGCCTGACCAACATGGTGAAACCCTGTTGGTTTTTGTATTTCTACTAAAAATACAAAAATTAGCCAGGCGTGGTGGTGGCACCTGTAATCCCAGCTACTCAGGAGGCTGAAGCAAGGGAATCATTGGAACCTGGGAGGTGGAGGTTGCAGTGAGCCAAGATCATGCCACTGTACTCCAGCCTGGGTGACAGAGCAAGACTCTGTCCCAAGGAAAAAAAATATATATATACATATATATTCCTTTATGTGTTTATGCTGAGACTGCTTTAGGGACATACAAGAAACTGCTTTTGGGGAGGTGACAAAGGAGGGGCTTAGAGGAATAGAGACTAAAGGATTGAAGGGGACTTGTTTTTTAAATCATCTAATAGTTTGTGTTAAATAGGGTTTTTAAATTATTTGCATGTATTTCTCAAAAATAAAATTTGCTTATTTAAAATATGGATCCATGAAAACTTTGAAGATGAAACATTCCAAAAAGAATTTAGCCTCTGACTTTTCTGACTCCAGGAATCTTTCTGTTATAACCATCTCATTTCTGACATACAGGCGTACCTCAGACATATCGTGGGTTCAGTTGCTGAGCACAGCCATAAAGGAAACATCACAATAAAGTAAGTCACACACATTTTTTAGCTTCTCAATGTATATGAAAGTCATGTTTATACTATACTATAGTCTGATAGGTGTGCAATAGCATTATGTCTTTAAAAACACTGTACATACCTTAATTAAAAACAACTTTATTGCTAAAAAATGGCAACCATCATCTGAGCCTTCAGTGTGTTGTAATCTTGCTGGCGGAGAATCTTGTGTTGATGTTGATGACTACTGACTAATCATAGCGGTGGTTGTTGAAGACTGGGGTGGCTGCAGCAATTTCTTAAAATAAGGCAACAGTAAAGTTTACTGCATCCACTGATGTTTCCTTTCATTCCATCTTTTGTGACAGATTTCTCTGTACCATGCGATGCTATTCGATAGAATTTTATCCATAGTAGAACTCTTTCCAAAATTGGAGCTAATCCTCTCAGGTCTTTCTGATGCTTTATCAACTAAATTTAGGTAATATTCTAAATCCTTTGTTGTCATTTCAACAATAGAAACAGCATCTTTACCAGGAGTAGTTTCTATCTCAAGAAAGTACTTTCTTTGCTCATCCATAAAAAGCAACTTCTCCTTCATTCA